TAAAATTAGTAAATGTACAGTAAAAAGAAAAACTGTATAGAAGGAGAAATATTTCCATCCAATGTTGCTGCTGAGAGGCTATTATCCAAGATACACTAGCAAATTGATACAAATATGCGTCAAGAGCCAACCACTAGTACATAAGTGGTAAAAAGATATAAATAATTTTCAAGACAAGAATTGCAAACTATAAATGATCACAGTAAAACATGTTCCAAATTAGTGATAGTAAGAAAAATGCAAATTAAAACAAGTCTGAGATTTTACCTTGCACCATACAAATTAGCAAAAATGGCATAAACAAAACAAAACAAAAAAATCAGGAACAGTCAATGTAGGAGGATTTGTGGGAAAACAGGATCACTTAGTACACAATTGAAGTACTTGTGAATTAATCCAACCATTCTAGAAGTCAACTTGAATTTTTTTTTCTTATATTGCCATAGTATTCCAAACATCCTTTCCCTTCCCCTAGAGCTATCCCCAAGAAAATTAATATTTTCTGGAGAGGGAAAAAAAAAGTTAGCAGAAATTATAGACACATTGAAAAAGTCTGAAAATGTGCAATGTGTAATACCTGTGGACCACCCACCTCCACATAGGGGCACTTTGGATATGTCTTATCATATCTCTTCATTTGAGTTCCACTTGATCTTTGCAATTCTAAAACATTTACTTCTGATTTTTTGGTGTGGAGCTGTTCTATTTATCTGCATAGTTGTAGTTACTGTGTATATTATTTTCTTGGTTCTTTTTCACTTTGCATCAGTTCATACAGATCTTTTCATTTTCTATATTCTTCACACACATAATTTCTTTGTTGGGGTGAGGGGCAAGGAGAGGCAACTGGGTTAAAGTGACTGTCCCACAGTAGTGCAGCCAGTAAGTGTCTGAGGCCAGATTTGAACTTTGGTTCTCCTGACTCCAGGACCAGTGTTATATCCACTGCACGCAACCTGGCTGCCCCACACACAAAATTTCTTACAGCATAGTAATACTCCATTACATTTATGTACCACTATTTGATTAGCCATTCCCCAAGTGATGAGCATCTATTTTGGTTCTAATTCTTCACTACTACAAAAATGTACTGCTACAAGTGTTTGAGAGTATATGGAGACTTTTTTCTTGTTAATGGCTTCTTTGGGGTATAAGCTCAGTAATGGAGTCTTTAGTTCAAAGGATTGGACATTTTAGTCATTTTATTTGCATAATTCTAAGATGGTTGTACCACTTCCCATTTCCATCAGTAATGTATTAGCCTTCAGCATGAACTGTTGTCATTTTTTTAAATCTTTCTGCCAATGTGCAGGGTGTGAGGTGAAATTTCAGGGTTGTCCTTATTTTCATTTCTCTTATTATTACGGATTTAGAACATTTTTTCATGTGGTTGTGAAGCCTTTGCTGATTTTTTAAAACTATTAATATCCTTTGATCATTTACTTATTGGAGAATGACTATTGGACATATATATTTATTAAGTGTTCATATATCTTGGATTCCACACTCTTATTAGAGAAATTTGATACAAAGAATTTTTTTCATTTGACCGCTTCCCTTCTTATCTTAAATGTGTTAATGATATCTGTGCAGAAGCTTATCAGCTTCAAGTCATCAAAAGTATCCATTTTATCTTTTGTAATTGCCTCTAACTCTTGTTTAGTAAGAATACCTATAGCTGCGAAAGGTGTGGGATTTGTTCTCTCCTAATTTTTAGATAGCACTATCTTTAATACTAAGGTAACATATCCATTAAGAATGTTTCGTGGAATGTGGTATAAGATGTTGGTCTAAGCCTGATTTCTGCCAAACCACTTACCAGTTTTTCTTGAAGTGTTTGTCAAATAGAGAATTTTTCTCCATAGGTATCTTCTGATTTCCACTTTATGAAACACTGGCTTACGTTCTTTTGTTTCTGAATCTCCCTTGTCTAGTGTGTTCCATTGATTTACCTCTCTACTCTCTAACCAATACTAGATGGTTTGGATGATTGCTACTTCATAATATAGTTTGAAGTCTGGAAGTGCTATTCTCCCTTTGTCCTTACTTCTTTTAATCATTTCTTTTGACATTCTAGACCTTTTGTTATTATTTTATCAAGCACTGTAAAGGATGCCCTTGATAATTTGATTGTGGAAGTATTGTCATTTTAATTATATGGCCTAGCCATGAACACTGACTATTCCTCCAGTTATTTAGGGTGTTCTTTCTTTAAAGGACTATTTTGTAATGGAATCTATACAAGTCTTTTCTGTGCCTTGGGAAGCTGATCTCCAGCTATTTTATGTAATTTATAGTTATTTGCATTGGGATTTCCCTTTCTATTATTGTGATTTCTGTTTTGATATAAAATTTTTATTGATTTTTGAAGATTTATTTTGTAGCCTGCAACTTTGCTGAAGCTATTAATTTACTCAATTAGTATATTTGCTGGTTATCTGTTTTCTAGGCAAACCCATCATATCATCAGCAAAAGGGGATAGTTTTATCTCCTCTTTACCTATCTTTATTCTTTTAATTCCTTTTTCTTGTTTTATCACTACTACTAGCATTTCCAGAACTATATCAAGTAATAGAGAGTATCCTTGCTTTACTCCCATATTTGCAGGAACAGGTTCTAATGTATTCCTGTTGTATATGATGCTTGCTCTTGCTTTTAGCTAGATGCTTTTTATGATTTCAAAAAGGGTTCCTCTATGCCTATACTTTGTAGAGTTTTTAAGTATAAAAGTGTGTTGGCTTTTGTCAAAAGGCTTTTTCTGTATCCAGTGAGATGATCATGTGGTTTTGCAAGTTTTGTATTCTTAATATGACTAATTACGTCAATTGTTTTCCTAATGTTGAACCATCTTTGCATCCATGATATGAATCCCATTTGATCATAAGGAAGGATTTCTTGGATAAATAGTTGTAGTCTGTTTGATAGTCTTTTGTTTAAATTTTTTGAGTCAATATCATTAATGGCATTGGCCTACAGTTTTCATGTTTTATCTTTCCCTGTTTTAGGTATTAGAACTGTATTTATCTCAAAAGGAATCTTCTAGGGTGTTTTCTTTCTTAAATTTTCAGAATAATTTGTTTAGAATGTGTACTAACTGTTCTTTAAAACTTTGATAGAATTCTCCTGTGAATCCATCAGGTCCACTCTGATAGCTCCTTTAGAGCCAGATCGATTTCCCTTTCTGAGATTGGGTTGTATAAGATCTCTTTTTAGTTTTCTTATACTTGGGTATTTTATAATTTTTAAGTATTTCTCTATTTCTTTTGTGTTCTCAATTTTTGTCAACATATAACTGTGCATAATGTATACTGATTATTCTTTTTATTTCTTCTGGTTTTCTTGAGATTTCATTTTTGTGATTTATTTGTGATTTTAATGAATTGATTTTCTGCTCTCCTTTCAAAAAATGATTAGCTAACAGTGTATTAATTTCCTGGTTTTAAAGAACCAGATTTTAGTTTTATTTATCATTTTTATGTTTTTTATTTCCAACTCATCTATCTCCCCTCTAATTTCTAATATTCTCTCTTTTGTTCTAATTCTATTTATTTGTTGATTTTCTAATTCATTTTTTCCCAATTTTGTTAATATATGACTGCAAGGGTATGATTTTCCCCCTAAGGACTATTTTAGCTACATCCCAGAAATTTTGGTTTGCTGTTTCATCATTAACATTTTCTTTTACATAGTTGTCAATTATTTCTATGATTTGTTCTTTGATCCACTCATTAAGACTGAAATCTTAAGTCTTCATTTAAATCATCAATCTGCAGTAAAATCATTAAGCTGCCCATATCCTTGGATTTCAGCAACTCCATAATTGGGTTTATGAACCCACTGTCCCTCCCCACCCAAAACCAAAGGTAGAAACAAATGTCTAATACATATCAAAATATTCATAGCAATATCCTTTGGGATAGCAAAAGACTGGAAACAAAGTAGGTGCCTATCAACTAGGGCAATGACTGAAAACAATATCTTACATGAATTTAATAGAATTGAGGAAATCAGAGAAACATGAGATCAGTATTTATGATGCAGCAAAAAATAAGCAGAACTAAATAAAGAATACGTATAATGATTTCAACAATGTGAATGGAAGAGATTACTAAAAGGAAGTTGAACTCTGAGTAACTGAAAAACCAGTGAAGATTACGGAGGTAAAATGAAACGAACTTTCCTCCATACAAAAGACATGAGACTACTAGGCCAAAACATTATAACATTATCGTATTCTGTCACTATAGCAGATATTTTTGCTAGTTCTCTTTGTCAACTGAGAAAGAAGGAAAGAATGGTTCTTCCTACCCACTTCAAAATGACTATGATGTTAAGACAAAATGCATACCAAGAGTTATTTTTTTTTAAACAAAATTGTTTATCTTACTTTTTGATAGTCTGAAAATAGGACCTCAATAATGACTATATTATCTTAAAATGAAAGATCATCATTTTTGTTGGGCCTCTTTACAAAGAAAGGACCTGTTCTATAAGTGATAACACAATTAAACAAACTTGTTGAGGATAGAAATCTGAACTTCTTAGCATTATGAAATTTTATATTGGGTAAATTTACTTGGAAAACTGAGAATTGTTACCTTGTTTTTAAGTCTGCGAATTTTTTGTTTATCTGTTTTTGGTGATAAGAAAGGTCCATGACCTCCATAGTGAAAGGAATCTAATCATTTCAAAAAGATGTTCCTGAGAGATATTGCACTACTTATGTTCACATAACCTGGATAAAAGATAGTTTTTATGCTCAGGAAAATTATTGGAATTATTTAAATGATATCTTTGTTTAGGTCACATTTAGGCTAATAAATATAGTACTGAAGAGTTATGGCTAAAATCAAGAATAGAATGGGGTTAAATAAATCTACATTAACAAAAATTTACAAGATACCATCAGTAAGTTAACCTGGCTCATTAAAAACAAAGCATTCAAAATATCAAGCAAACAAAAATGAGAAAAAAAAAAGGCAGATAGCCAATAGCCTACCTCAATGTAGTCCTTGGCATGGCCCCAATCTCTCTTGGCATCCAGATTCCCCAAACTGAAACTCTCCAGTTGTCCAAGGTGAATCTTAGCTACAGATCGGCTGATTTTTCGAGTTACAAAATTAGCCCCTGAAAAAAACAGACAAAAGATATTAGCAGTTAGGTCCCACTGACTGATGAAACATTTAAAATCACAACTCCTGGGCATTTCTTTTCTTCTTCAGCCTATCTTCTCCTTTTCCTAACTCATCTTTCCTTCAAACAACAAAAACAACAAATTACTAATGTTCATTTGGGTAAAGGAAGAAGCTGGAACTTAGTTCTACTTTCACAACAAATATTCTTCTTGGTGGGACTTCTTAGCATTCCTCATTTGCTCCTCAATATGCAGCCCAGGCATAAGGCCAAGGAAAAGCTATTGGAATGTCAGTTTTTTTTTAACACAAAATGCAGAAGGGTTATATAAAGGAAAACACTAGAATAGAAGACAGACAGCTAAGACCACCCTTGGCTATTTGTGTGCATATATTTTTTAAAGGAACACATTTAACTTTCATATTTTTCTATTGAGAAAGCAGGGGGAGGGGGGAGGTGGTACAAAAGGAAATAATTTTGTGGGTGGGATATTAGCTGTTAAAGGATAATACAGGACTCAAATCAATCAGGAATTTTTTTTCTACATTTAAGTTAGTAAAATAAAAATATGAAAGCCTCCTATTCTTACGCCACTGAGCAGATCTCCAGTTTCACAATGGCTCCAAATTAAATGTGTCTCAAAGAACATTCATGGCAATGCCACCTTCCTACTTAGATGAAGTATTGTGTAAAAGAATGAGATAAAGAATTTACATAAATGTTTTGAAATGATTGGATGAAAGGTAGTATAAATAAAAATAACTTGACTTGTCATTATTGTTCTCCAGCCTTAAGAAAAATCATAGAATCAGATATTGGCTCAGCCCTCTGCATTCAAGCTTTGCTATACCAAGGCATAATTTAATAAAACTCTCAAGTTTATTACCATATTATCATGTTTTTATAGCTATAATTAAAATGCACTAATATCACAGCTTATGATATTTTGATGACTTTAATTTTACAATTAATTTGTAGATAACACAAAGAGACTAAAGTAATGACAAAAAAAGCTTTTGTTTTTAAAGGATCTGAAGAGTGATTTTTCTAAATATGTTCCTTAAATTGTGGCAAGAAGCTTGACTATGGCAAGTTCGAACATATGCCTGATTCATTTATTATACAAAAATCAGAATGTTTATTTCAGTATTAATATACCTTTACCAAATATGATGGGAATATCTAAGCATTGTCACTGCATAGAAATAAAATTATGTAATATTCCTTAGTTCATGAATCAAATTTAAATTTTATGAGCAAATATTCCAAAATATTCCTCATCATAACAGAATCATAGGATTTAGAAACAGAAGACAACTTCATCTAGTCTGGATCTAGATTTCCAGAACTATCCTTAAAGACAAAAGTAATCTAATCCTAACAAATTTCCCATTTAATTTTAGTAATTAGAAACTAATACATTTATTTAAAGTAGACATTCAACCTATTTTGATTCAATTCCACAAACATTTGTTAAATGCCAACTATGTGTAAGTCACTATAGTTGGTGCTTGGAATGAAAAGACAAAAATGAAACAGGCCCTTGAAATATATGTTAGTCCCCTTTTGTACCCAACATTGAGCTGGAGTCTGGACCTATAGGTCAGAAGTAGTTTCAGCTGTGTAGGGACAGGTCATATTCATGAAAAACTAATACCCAGTGGGTGGATCTGACCTCAGCTCGAGATTTCTATGTAGTAACTCTCTATGCTTTGCTACACTGAAAAGCTAATAAGTGTCAAAAATATCATCTAGAGCTACCAATACTACTGATACATTTTTAAAAGTCTTCTTTCGTGTCCAAATATCAAATTGTCCAGGCTCCGTACAAATATTTCCAACCACCTCTTAAGACAGCTATCATAGGCCGCCCATTGTACTTTGGGACAACTCTAATTGTCAGAATGTTTTTCCAGATATCAAGTCTAAATTTGCCTCTTTCCAACTTTGGTTCTGCCAAGAGGTGGAACCAAATAGAAACAGTCTCTTTTTAAAAAATTGCAGATAAAGTGCTGGCCTGCATTGACAGACTGAAAGAGTTCCTAACTCAGGGGTACATGAACAGTTTATTTTTTAATTAATATTTTGACAAATGTCTTTCAATACAGTCGGTTTTCATTGTTGTTCATTGCACTTAGTAACATTCTGAGAAGGGGTCCATAGGTTTTACCAGAATGTTAAAGGGCTCCATAACACAAAAAAGTTTAAGAACCCTTGGCATAGAGTTTCCTCATCAATAGTCTTCTATACCAATGAAACCACAGGTCTAATAATCTATTTGGATTCCAGTGTGGCCTAAGATTGAGTCTGAGTTCTTAAGGAAAAAAAAGGACATTTTAAAAAAATCAATATTCTCCTTAAAATAACTATCTATGAATCATAAAGCATCAAAATCCTTGTAGAATAAAAATTGAAGATTTTTAATATCACTTTAATTTCCTACTATGTCTAGCCCTCACATTCTAGAATTTTTTTTAAAAGATGAAGAAAAATTGGTTAGCAAAACTAACCAATTTCATCCAAAAAAACCAATCTCTTATATGCAGTGTTCCACTCCTATGTGTCTTCTCATATCTCTTCTTTGGGATCAATACTGATCACTGTAATTTTGCAGCATTCAGTTTCTATCATGTTGTTGTTCTTTCCATTTTTTGCACTAGTTTATAAAGTCATTCCATTTTTCTCCATATTGATCAATAAGCATAATTTCTTGTAGGACCGTAATAGTCAATTGAATTCATGCACCATAACTTGTTTAACCAGTAAACAACTTTGTTCTCTCTCTCTCTCTCTCTCTCTCTCTCTCTCTCTCTCTCTCTCTCTCTCTCTCTCTCTCATACACACACACACACACACACACACACACACACACACACACACACCCCAACCAAAACCCAAAACAAAACAAAACAAAAAAATGCTGCTACAAATATTTTGGTGTATATAGGAGGCTTACCAGTGAAATTTTAGGGCCAGAGCTAGCTCATTTTAGGCACTTTCTTTCCATAATGATAATCTCCTTTTTCAGAATGCATGAAATAATTCACAGTTCAACAATGCATTTGTGCATCCTTTTTACCACCCAGCCAACACTGATTATTCCTATCTTTTGTAGTGTTTTCCAATTTTCTTGATATGAAATGAAATGTCAAAGTTATTTGATTTGTATTTCTCTTATTGCCAGTGATTTGGAGTATTCTTTTATGTTAGTTAATAGTTTGCAATATTTAGCTCTAAATCTCTATTGATTAGAGAAATGCAAATTAAAACAACTCAGAGGGACCACATCACACCTATCAGATTGGCTAGCATGACAAAACAGGAAAGTGATAAATGTTGGAGAAGATGTGGGAAAATTGGAACATTAATGCATTGTTGGTGGAGTTGTGAAATAATTCAATCATTCTAGAGAGCAATTTGGAACTATGTCCAAATGACTACAAAACTGTGCATACTCTTTGATCCAATAATACCACTACTGAATCCCAAAGAGATCATAAAAAAGGGAAAAGGACCCACACGTACAAAAATATTTATAGCAGCTCTTTTTGTGGTGGCCAAGCATTGGAAATTGAGGGGATACCCATCAATTGGGGAATGACTGAACAAATTGTGGCATATCAATGTAATGGAATACTATTGTTCCATAATAAACGATGACCAGGTAGATTTCAGAAAAACCCAGAAAAACTTGCATGAACTGATGCTGAGCGAAGTCAGCAGAACCAGAAGAACATTGTATACAGTAACAGCAATTTTGTGTGATGACTGACTTTGATAGACTTATCTCTTCTTAGCAATGCAATGATCTAAGATAATACCAAAAGACTCATGATGGAAAATGCTATCCACATCCAGAAAAAGAATTATGGAGTCTGAATGCAGATCGAGGCATTGTTGGTTTTTTCTTTCTCACTGTTTTTCCCTTTTGTTCTAATTCTTCTTTTACAACATGACTAATGTGGAAATATATTTCATATGATTGTACCTGTATAGCCTATATCAGATTGCATGATGTCTTGGGGAGGTAGGAGGGGAGGGAAATGGAAAACTTAGAATTTAAAATCTTATAAAAGTGAATGTTGAAAACTAAAAATTAATTTTTAAAAATAAATAAATGAAGATAGATCTAAAAAAACAACAAAAATAGGTTGCAATTTTTGAGAACTTTTTGTATATACATAGGTAATTTATCTATTGGAGAACACAAACCTATATGTAAGAATCTCTGTAGGCCATACAATGACTTAGAAAAGTACTTACAAGCATTACATATGTTCTATTGCATTTTGTTAAAGTTTCCCCATTAGACTTTAATATTTCCAGCCTCACTCGAGGAGTATTGAAGGCTTGATATCAGACCCTTATAAAAGATATTAGATATAAGAATGATTTTCCCCAGTCAATCACTTTCCCTTCTAACCTAGATGTATTAATGTTTATAATCTATAATCTTTCATGTAATTGAAATGATCTATTTTTAACTTTTGTAATCACTTCCATCCCTTTTTGGGGGGATATGTGTGTATGTATGTGTACACATATATATGTGTGTACACACACATACACATACACACACACATATACACACACATATACATACACACACATATACGTGTGTGTGAGAGATATATAAGTCTGCTTCTTTTCTAATGTTTTCATGGTGTGATCTTTAATATTAATGTACATTTTGAGTTTGTGACAGAATATGCTATAAGATACTGATATAAACCTAATTTGTATGAGATTACTTTAGTAATGTCAAATACAATTTTCTTTCTTAATTTTTACTTTTGAGTTTATTGTATATTCTATTATTGAGTCCAATTACTCCTGATTCTTACTTATCTAATCTCTTATGTTGACCTACTTTTCTAATGTTTTTTTCTTTAACCAAGACCACATGGCTTTGATGATTATCGCTTTATAATATAGTATAAGGTCTGGAAGTGTTACATCCTCTTCATTCCAACCTTTCTTCATTATTTCCCTTC